AACAGAACACATATTCACACAACTCATCTTGTAGGCCCTATATTCACAGTATTAGGAATTGTTCATTTTCTGTCAGTGAAACTGAGATTCTCTTCTTTGTCACATGACTGTTTGTGCTACACATTTTCTGTGTATTTTGAAAGATCATGTAGAGCTGAACATAGTGGAAATTAGCATACAATAAAGAGTAGCACAACAAATAGGTGTTCTTTTCTGTTGAGATGGACGATGATAATGGGTTGTGGAAAAAATGTTTGCTTAGATCTCAGGGGACAAAGAGAGGATGAATGTTTTGCATCTGAAGCACAGTCTCTTTAAGTTTGGGTTGTCCTTGATATTACATACTGAAGTGAAGCTTAGATATCTTGGAATAACAATGAGAGCTTAATACTCAAGCAGCATGGCTGACATGGCATTGAATGGTAGCTGTTATCAGTGTTTATGTGTGGAATGGAGTGTGTGTGCAATATTGTCTTGCATTATTTTCTCATTGAATTGGTGCTGTATATAATAATTTAAGAAATATGGAGACCCTTGTGTTAAATTTGATTAGACGGTTTTTTAGACCAGGTTAGAGAGTATAAAGATGAAAGGGCATATGAGGTGGCTTCAGGCCATTTAAAGGGGGATAGTGGGAGTTGGGCTGGACAATAAAATGATATTATTGTTTACCAAATGTAATTTTGATTAAATTATAATATCATCATATTGTGATATTATGACATCCATTTTGCTGCCTGCGGTCAGTTTAACAAGCTTGAGCCATAAAGCTGTGACGTCTTCCTCTCAAAATGAATTATGACACATTTATATGAGCTTAACAATTGAAATTCACTCAATTTCATGCTGTGTTGGACTCGTCATTATTTTGTAAAATGATAATTATCGCTAATTTCCATTTAGAATAACTGAAAGCTCACTTCTGTAATATCATGCAGTCATTCTTGTTGGTATACAATATTTTGACACCCACCAAAACAGCATACATCTGATTTTGTTTCAGTGTATGATTTTTATTTATTTGTTTATTGCATAGGTTGTGAAACATCAGCCTGGCACCGTTGGCAGGAACAGTGCTGCTCCTCTTGCAGCTATATTTTGCAATTGTGACAAACAGTGAGAATGACAGAATCAGTCTTGAGTTGAATTTCATTGTCTTTCAAAACCAAATCCTTGTATTAATTCCCTTAGTGAATGTCTTAGAAGATGTATGTGCTGTTTCTAGGAAGATAAATTGATGGAAAAGCTTAATATTGTAAGGCAAGTCAAACCCTGTTAGGTGTGAATAGCTATGAGTTACATTTGAAGCTTCACATTTCCAAATACAATCATAAAATGATACCTTATCATTTATACCAGTCTCTTTATTGTTCCATTTTGTCCTTACCTCATATTACAATAGAAAACATATCATTGCTTGTAGTTGTTTTAATTTTCTATCACATATTTATAAAGACGGATATTTACTAATGCATTATGGGTTTAGTTCCCTCCTGCAAAAAACATTTTCAATTTTCTTCTTGTATGTTTTTTGTGTTGCTACTTTTATGTCACAAACAGAGTTGTGAACAGTTCCCTTCAAATTGTACTCATGTATTTATTTTTGAAATGACAAGCTCCCTTTGGAATAAAAAACAAACATGTAAAGAATAACTGCAGAATGAAAATTAGTAAACACGACCAAAGAGGTAACCATGACTGAAAACAATGATTTCAGGGCTTTAAAATTGGGTCAGTGCATCTCTGCAGAATCTCCCAAATGGTACATTTCCAACCATGTGACTTATAAGGAAAACCGTACAATCATTCCATATGCAAAAACAGCTGTCACTGCAGCCATTGTAAAAGAGTGCACTGCAAAACACAATTGCAGATGCTTCTTCTTCATGTGCATCCCCATAATCCCACAGAAGTGTGTGCATTAGCATTATTCAATTGAAAGTCACATGTTCTGTGACACATCGAGGAATTTCCCATTAAATAATGATGTGCCACGTGCTTGCTCAGCTAAAAAATATCATGATGTGGGGATGCCTTTTTCCCTGGCATTCTGTCGAGTCATACTCTGTCATGGCACTGATACACGCATTAACGCACCTTTTTCTTTTAGTGACAGAATTCTTTCTTCAAACGCTCACATCATTCAGTTCAAAATATTAATCTCCATTATTTGAACCAGGTATACAATGACATGTACAGCTGTGCTACCAGACTTTTCATTTCATACTGTCGCTGTGACTGCATCTGCATAATTAAAACCAGCCTTACAAAAGGAACACGATTTAAGTGTATACTTAAATATTTATTAACTTTTGCTCTATGTAGTGTTAAATAGTAGTGTAGAATGAAAACATTAAATATTTAAATTTATGACTGCACTCTAATTGCACAATTGGTTTTCTTCGGTCAAATCAAGTTGTTTCACCATTTAGTAAAGGTACGAATGTGTTTGAAATCCCCACCAACTCTGTCTTTCAGCACATAAGGCAGGTGTAGCTCCTTCAGAAAGCAATAGAGTGTGTGTGCCACAGTCTACTCTCTGTTCCTGTGAACAGCTCCTCTGTAAAGTCTCAGACGGCTTTGGGTCTGAACGGGCAGCTCCCAGTCTGATTCTGTTTCAGTCTGATTCTGTTTCATCACCCGCTGATTAGCTGATGAGACATGAAAAAACAAAAGAACTGCAACACAAAGTGGAATATTTTGACAACCTGATAATGCTCCTCAAGACCCCTGCCAAGAATCAGTGGGCAGAGGAACGATTGGGGATTGGAGTTAAAAAAATGTTTTTTTTAACAATGTGAATCCCTAATTTGAATTGATAAGAGCTCACACATACGATGTTCTGTTCGCCCTAACGCGGAGGGAAGAGAACGTTGATGGGGACGGCACCGAAGCAAGCTCAGAAGGCTTTCCCGCTGGTGCATGTGTCGGGGCGCTGACGTAGAGGAACTTCTCACACAGATGGCACCGCCACCCTTCGTCCATCTGTCCGAGGCTGGTTACCCGCGTGAATCAACACTCTCACACTCCCCAGGATGTGGGTGTGCTTCGCTCCTGCACATGGAGACTCTCACGGCAAGTAGACACAAGGTTAAAAATGAGAGCTCACCCCACATTTATCCACAGACAGCTCTTATAATGTGGCACGCTTCATTAGGTAGGTTTCATCCGATCTGATTGTGACCAGTTATTACGGTTTACTGTTTTTCAACTTATTTACAGAGGGGGTTTAAACAGCTCATTCACAACTGGTATATTTTGTAATGAATGGCAATACACATATATATTTCCTGTCATTCTGTGTTTGTGTCTGATGATTCAGAATAAAAGGTCATTGCTCATTACATCCTGTTTCCATGTCATGCACTTTGATCCCATGTCTTTTACATAGGCCCCTGTATTCAATCATAACTTTCAGTTTGAAGTTTAAGTGCTATTAAATCCAAACTTGGTCCATCTGCCGTTGTATTACATCATGGTAACCTTTGGATTTAATTGCTGGAAAGAAGGATGTACTTTTGTTTTTATATAAAAATAATTCATATACAAAGGCTTTTATTAAATAATGCTTCCTCTTCAGATAACTTGCTTTGGTATTTTGGATTATATACGGGAGTGTTATGCACTGGTGCCTTAAAATGTACTGCTTATGGCCTTTTACGTGCTTCATAACTAGAATGCTTTCCAAACCAGAATGGGTCATGAAATGGGTTCCTGATCTTGTGCCATATTAAGTGGTCTGGCCTAAGAATGGGAATAGGTATTTATGTGTCATTCATCTCCTGTCGCTCTGTTCAGAGGGTTATTTTATTGACACATGTATGACATTTCTCACTCTAGAGGCATAAAAAAACATAATCGATTTGACCGAGTAAATAAAATTGAGTCAATAGTCAGCTTCCGTGTGTGTGGATAGGTGGGAGAGCATCGGTGTGACCAACAAAGTGAAGCATGCATCTGTGTCCTAATGTACCCTTATACAGCAAAGTGGGAGGGTATGAGATATAGCCCTAACATCCCATAGGCCCAAATCAAATCACAGCAATCTTTTTGGAAATTGGTCTTTGGTTCTTGCACACTTATTCTGAAATTGACATTATGAGCAGCAGACAGCATTTATTAATCATGTCTCCCCTAGCAACAGAGGGACAGGGGTGAGAGATATAAGGAAGTGGTGTTGAGGGTGGAGGGGTTTTGATCACCATGTCTTATATATTGGTGTGCAGGTATAGGGGCATGGAGTGCTTCCACAGCAGGACTGATTTGGCTCCCTATGAGTCACCATCCTGTCTAAAATGACTGATGTGACTTGTCAAGGCAGTGTAGTCATTCTTCTCCCTGCTGTTGCAAGATGGATCCACCAGTAAATGGGCAAAGAATGGCTCCATAGACTATACTTACATATATCTCTTTCTTAAGATGCACAGGTAGCCATATACACTCAAATTACTGTTATGTTAAATCTGTTAGACTTTGCATGGATAAACATTGCATAAAAATCAGCCCATGTTTGTAATAAACATTTGAATCTCTCTAAAATGAATATTTTATGCCACTTCAGACCTATATCTTTTCTGACAAATCTTTTGAAGTGGTATGATTAGAAGAAAGAAACTTTCAGAAAAAAGTACACAAAGTACTTCAAGTAATGTTTTAATCAATAATTTGAAAAAAAAAAAAACAAAAAACATAACAATAAAAATCAATTAAATTTGCTCTGAGACACTGCTCCCTGTTGATTTTTATCATGCAAAAATATTTTTGCTATATTGATATATCAAGGCAGAGAGTTTGTAACTTTGAAAAAAAAATGAAAATACACCAGTTTAAAGTTTTCTAATCCTTCATTGGCTGGTGTCACTACTTTCATTGCTGTTATGTAAATGCAGTACTCCACCTCCACAGTGGTTAAATCCTTTTTGTAAGCTAACCAATACATTATAGGCCTTTGGCAGATAGGATGACTTGACAACTCAAAGTGCATAAGACAGGGAAATGATTGCTGTGAGCAGGGTTCAAACATACACTGGGAAACCCCACTGGATTCCAAATCCAACGCCTCAACCACTCGGCCATCACAGCAACGCACATCAGGGTACCAATAATCAAAAGACAAAAATGTCTATGCTCTGTTTGATTTCAGTCTGGCTTTTATTTATGTAGAACATTTTGTCATCTTACTGTAAGTTTTCAGTCATAATAAAACATCACACATGAACACATTGCTTGTGGAGAGGGGAATATTTTTGATTTGTCAAACAAGTCAGTGATCGACAGTGGAGTTTAGCCCACCCTAATGCATCATTAGGTCCCATACATTCACAGCACACAATCGTGGTTGTTTAAACATGAAACCACTTCAATACAGCCGCATGGCAGTGTCACCTAACCAGAAGAAAGGCTGTGTAGCTAGCTGCATTGCTATGACTACTGAACCTGTTATGTGTTTAAGTTGCTTTACCATCAAACATGAAAACTAAAAACTAAATAAAAATGAGAAACAGAGAGTTTCACTCCATTGAGCAAGGTAATAGGTAGATGAAATTGAAACTGCTTGCAATTTTGCTTGTGCTTTCTTTGACATTTAAAAAAAAAGAATATTTTTTTCTTGTCAGACATTTGTGTGGCCTCAATGTATGATTACCTTTACTATTTTTTTTTTTTTTTTTTTTTTGCCTTCTACGGAAACACAATTTTAATCAATTTCAATCAAATGGCAGCAAAAACCTGAAAACACTGAATGAAACAATATTTTGGAATACTGTATTCCAACATCTAATGGCATTTGGTTTGGTATTAAAAAAAGGATACTGGTTATTTGCCAGTATTTTCAGTATTCAACAATGGCAAAATGTTATTGCAGGGTATTGTTATTACACTTCATGTATGTGTATTTTTCTTGAAAAAGAAAAGTGACAAAAAAGCTGAGAGAATCCACCAATGTACCAAAATTGGAGAGGCAATCTATCCTTAGATTGAAATGTCTGTATCTGTCATTGTAAACTTTCCCTGGAGTTTATATTTTTCCAGAAACATTTCGTTCAGCTGAAAAGAGGTTTAATGGATATGATTTATAGATCTCATTTTCCATGTAATTTTCAAAGCTTCTTTCATGTCTTGTCGAGTTGTCAAGTTCTTTTTTAAAATGAAAAAGAACAACAGACAGTGGTTCTGTTTTAATCAGTCAGTAAGTTCACCAGCTTTACTTGATGCTTGTTGTCATGTTGATTTCATTAAAAGATGCACCACTGTGACATATACTTTTATGTATTGTAATGAAAACATAATAGCATGAGAATGATGCATTAGCAAACACTGGAAACTGAACTCAGGCACTCACGTCATCATCATATTTGACATCAGTTACTTGATTATAACAGCACACATGTAATTCCTCTATTTTATATTGACCCTAAAACAATATTTTGTTAGAACATCCCAGTTCCCTGTCTCCCATTTCCTCCAATGCATTTAAAATGTATCCCACATATTTTTCAGTGTTCATCTTTCGGGGGTATATTCTCCATCCTGGCAATCCAGTTGTTTATTATATCTTCAGGATATTTCAAGGGTATAGATTTTGCATCTATGTTTAGATCCTGGAGCATTCTTTCATATACTGACTTTCAATGAGATGAACACCTTGGGAGCTGATGGTTCATAGCTTTGAAAGTTGCAACTCTAAAGATGACATCAAAATACAATTTAAAGGTTTTGAATCAAAATTATATTTTGATTTGATGCTGGCCCTTTGTGTCTGAGCTGTGAATTGATATAGCATAATTAAAATGTTTTTATCTGTCTGCCTGTGTTTCCTATATCTGAGGTTCTATTGTACATAACTTGCACTGTGACATGTCACTATAACTTGGTGACATGTAACTGCAATGTTGTCTGGCCAGCTGTATCCCTCTTGAGCTCTGTGACAGATATTCATAAATATGTTTTTTTCTTTATTAATGTATAAAATGCTTTCTTTTAAATACTTTAAAATACAAATACTTTTAAATTTTATGAATGTAAATAGAGAAAAAAAGCCTTGCTATGCTACTCCTGGTATCCTCTCCTGGGACTCTGGGGCAATGCTGAATCATTGGGCAGTTGGCCTATGGCAAGTCTGGGAGGAGTTTCTGTTCCCCGTTTCTGTATGGCAAAGATCCTGCCAGTCCTTCCTGCAACCCTTTCCCTCAGGATGCAGAGTGAGATGGACAGCAGGAGAACACAGCTGGCCGCCACGGGCTGTGGAATTTACTTTGCCCAACAGCTGAAGTGTGTAACCACAGAGAGTGAGAGAGAGAGAGAAGGGCAGAAAAGTTCACTTTTCTACAGATATAGGTTTTGGAGATGAGATGCAAGGTCCTCAGATCTTAGGTCACAATTACGAAATTCCACACAAAGTGCTAAAACACAACACTGTTTGTAACATTTTCTGAATCCTAAAATGATAAATGAAATAGGATGTAAATGACCTGGAAAATTACATTTTGTTAATCCAAACCATTTACCATCAGGGTATTGATCCTTGCTCTTCTGTCTGACTATTTTGTAGAAAACCTACGTATAAAACTGAGCACTCTACAACAGGAGGATTGAGTATAATACACATTTATGATTTATTTCAAAGCAGTCAGATGGTGATGCATCTCCCATATTTCAGGAAGACAACAGTAATTATTAAGAGAAATGGAGAGCTAATCAAAGGTGGAACTTTAAAAAAAATTGGCACCATGGGAGAAAAAACTTTGAGAAAACAGTATGCTGGAAACGTCTGACATTTGGCTTCTACCGGCACATCTGAATTCCTCATGGGCAAGGGTATAGAACCTGAAAAACAAAGAATCGGTATGACAGTATCTCTGAACTCTTCTGTGTGCATTCAGAAAAAGAGACACCCAGCAGTGCAGACTGCATTACACTGCTCAGTGTCACTCCGCCCCTCGGCCCCCCCACCCCCTATTAGATTCTTCATTGAACAATTAAGAATCTAATGACATCACTGGCTACCATCTAAGTGGCATGCAATTAAGTGGAACCTCCACTACCAGACAACTGCCAACTTCCAACTGTCAACTGTCTTTGAGTAATGTAGAGTTCATACTGCAAACCAGGGGGTACTTAGTTTTATTTATTTATTTATTTATGAACACAAAAAGACTCATATCTGAACTGAATTTGTAGAGTTTGTTGAAGGTCAGGAGCAGTTTAAGGGAGTTTAAATCAGGTGAGAGAATGGAAAAACTAACTTTTTTTAATGACTTGCTTGACAAGAAGCTTAGGGATAAGCAGAATAGTGCAGTGGGTTTTGAGAATGAATGGAGCTGACTAGATAGTGTGTTCATGAGTGTAAGCAGGAGCGTAAGAGCAGAACTGGGGATTCAGCGTTAGCAAGGACAGCCCCATCCATTAAAATGCCAGAAACACACAGACCGATCAGAGTGAAGATGACAGGAAGCATTAAAATCCTGACTACAAATGATATATCCAGCATTTGTTTTTTTTTCTTGGCATCATATCTGTTGTGTCATTTTGCCATGTGACTCAGTACCAATGCATGGAATGGTTAAAAATATCAGTCACTGAACCAACACAAAGCAAAGCAGACATCACTCGGGGGAGAGACAGAGAAAGGAGGTTTATAGCTGTACCTGAGATGAGGATGTAGGCCACTGGGTGAGAGAGGGAGAGCAAGCTGCAGAATATGGGAGCAGGCGATCCCCACACTCATAAACGCTGTCCTTACCTTCAGCGTTTATTAAAAGCATTTTGATGTGACTTGCTCTCTGCTGTGACACGATATTTCATCTCCCTGTTAGAGATGACAAAAGGCCTTCCCTCAGGCATCGTGGCCGTTTTTTTTTTTTTTTATTCTTGCAACTGCGGTCTCTAATTCCTGTGACTTTAAATAACTTGTGCTCTCATTATCCAAATATGGGAGTGCACAGGGTATCACTTAATTAATTTGATTAGTGTGTATTTATCTCAAACTGTGACCTCTTTTTCCTAGATGTGGGGAATGAAAAAAATGGGGCTGAGCCTCTGTACCCAGTACAGATTTTTCAAAGAGTTTATGTAATGATATCTGCACATGTGTTTCTCCTGTGTCCCCTGGCTAGATTCTGTTCATGTATATCAATCATCTGTGACCTACAGGAGCAAAGCATCATGCGAGTCCTCCAAGTGTGAAGGGAGGATGGAGACTTTATGATACAATGACTGAATAATTTTTCATTCCACCCAGAGAAACAGCTAATCATCACAGCAATATGCACATTTAGCTGGTTATGGATTACAGTATTTTGTGATTTCTGGAACAACTTTTACAGTGTGTGACTTTCAACAGAATTAACATCAAAGCAAAGATTTCAGGGACACTCATCCATAGGATAAAAGAGGATTCATGTTATGTGATGTTTTCTGTCTGGGAAGTCATGCATAGAGTTGACTGACTTGGCTGATCACACAAAGGGGAAAATCTAGATTTAATTTAATACCAGACATTTGGAGCAGCTGTATGATTAAACAGAGAGGAATCCCTGTCTGATTTAAACATACATACTGTTCTAGGGGTCAAAATCAGGTGCAAGGTTGGTTCTTTGCAAGGATAGTTGGTAGTAATGAGAATAAGTTATTGGTGTGATTCAGCTCACCCTGTCATTCAGTGAGGTTGCTCTCCACTTGTCACAACATGACTGAAAATAAAAAAAAACAGTGGTTCAAGTTCAGAGCGATAAAAATATTTTGCCTTACTTTCACTTTCTGCAAGCAATGTGCCTATGGCAGTATTAGCATGCTAATAGAATACCACAAGTGTGGACTTATTCCTATTCTGGGAAAGCTGGTGTTTTTTTTGTGTTTTCTATTTTGTTATCAGTCTACTTTGTGAAACCATGAAGCCATTGAGTAGTATTAAAATTGATAGACTGGATTTGATATTGAGAAACAAAGACTTGAAACTCTGAGTGGGCATTGATTTATGCTGCTTTATACCGCTTTCAAGATGACCCACAAGAATATGAGCTTTACAATTTTGATGGTTAAGATCCCTATCCAGAGATGTGCAGCCCTAAGCGCAAAGGTGCAAA